TGCTAAGAAAGGTTATTGCATACTTATGAAGACTTAGTGATCACCATGAGTTCTTATTTGTTAGGATAAATCATTGACATTCAAGTGGGAGAATGTAAGGTTGTGAATGACAATGAATGATGTATTGGATTACTTATGTTGTAGGCCACATGTTTATCGAGTTGTTAACAACTTAAGTAATCTGATAGTCCTAATGAAATAAGGATTATGGAGTCTTATCCTTCGCAATTGACGTAAAGAAATTTGATGGATTTCGCTACAAAGATATAGTATCATGATGGGACTTAAACACTTAAGTGATAAGGTTTGATTTTCACAACCAATAATAGGCCGGTTGTGATTAAACCCTAATGATATAAATATTATGGTTAAATCCCTGTTTCCATACGCTTAATCTCTCAGATACGCTGAACCCTATTCATATAGCAAAAAGATATTATTGAAGTACTGGAAGTAGAAGACAACCTGTGAACTCAAGCCACCATGTCTCCAATCGGTGCAGGTTAATGTCATTCATCTTCTTTTTGTCGTTATCATGATGCATGTTAAATTATGATCCTAGAACCATGTTGAATTAGTCCCCCTTACACTACGTCCTCTCTTTTCCGCCGGGGTTGTGAGCTAACATGATCACGTCGATATGGACAACTACCTTGCTGGCAAGGCTGCTGTCCGGAGCTACTGGAAGAATCACATTCAGCAAGAATCACCTTCCCATTGTCGGGGAGCGCGGTACAGCAGTTCTTCAAAATTTCAAACAATGCTCGTCACTCCATTCGTGACATATCCATTGTGAGATTGCATACGCAATTTGATATTAGTTTCAAATATATTAAGAAACTAAGCTCTTACAAATGTTGAGAATGAGTTTCACATTGATGGGAGGAGATACCTTACACAGGCTTATAAGAGGTTGGGTTACTCCCTATATTGCCAATTGGTTTTATGGTGGAACCACAACTTTCTTAATGGTATCATAGCAAGTTGTCCACACTTGAGGGGGCGTGTTGAGAATAAGTTCCACACGTGAGGGGGAGTGTTGAGAATGAGTCTCACATTGATGGGAGGAGGGACTTCACATGGGCTTATAAGAGGTTGGGCTACTACCTATATTACCAATTGATTTTATGATGGAACCTCAATTTTCTTCAATAAGAAACTGATATTACTACAAATAGTCATTGACTCTCTTTTTGATAAATAATAACTCACCTTCGTGAAAATTGCATCTCCCCTTGAAACACTTACAAACATGTCTCCTCCAACATGATCCACACCTATATCAAACATCCATAGTGTTGGAAGTATGCCCACAAAGCCACTCATTTGATGTAATAGCTTTTTGGAATACTTATTGTGTTAAACTTTTATATGTTTAATAGAGGGCAAAGCTTATTGTTAATCACTATTTATAGTATCTTGTGTTTAAGCAATAAGGGAATCCAAGGAATGTATTTGATCTAAGAGACAAGTGATTTAAGTTAGTTAAATTAACGGGACCTTTCTCTTATGTTCATTCCTAAAACGTTCCTAGCCATAGGATTGCCAATTGGGCATTGACAATCCGCTAAGGTTAGTATGTGTTATGTCGACTCAAGCGTGAGTATGAACTAGTCTCAAGTCATTTGGTATTGGACACTAAGGCAAACACATAGGTGCTCGAAAGAGTAATCGAGTACACTGAACAACGATCAAACGAGAGTTCGAACATACATGTCATGTGAGAACTCAATAGTTGCAATATGCAAAGTAGTCCTTTGACCTAAGGCATCATTGATGTTTAATGGTTAGGTCCTTGATCTTTGATTATGTCAACGGCATTCCATTGGAGTGTCCACGACATTGTTGGGGTCAAGCTATCTAGTCATGTAGGCATATGAATGCACAACAAGGGATCTCTAACCTTCCATGGTGGAAGGAGAATACTCTAAGATATGATTCGAGAGTCTTTGGCCAAAGCATATGAATATGACTAAGGAAGGTTGTTCCAAATCTTATTCAATTGAATCATATAGAGAAATATCACATTGGATAGTAGACATGAAACAAACTATCACTTAAACAATGTGATTAAGAGTATTGTATTAGAGAATGACCGTATTGCATTGTAGTTGTAACTGGATAGGTTCTCCAACCACTTCTACTTAGCTTGGGTAACCATGACATGCTGCTAGGTGTCACCCATGGTTTGTGGAAGCCCTAAAGATTAGCAAACACTAATTTTAAGGGAGAATTGAAATGTGGTTTCAATTCACAATCGATCGTTAAGAGTAACATCGCCCACTACCTCGCTAATTGGAACCTAATGGATCGTACACCGAGTAAGGATATAAGTGAAGAAATTATATGAAATGGATAAGCAATTAAATGGTTTAATTGAAGAATGGTCAAGATTAATTAAATAGTTAATTAATTATACGAAACGTTCGTATTGGGCGTTTAAGTTAGTTTTGGGCTTCGGGGCACAAAAACGTTTTGGTCCACAAGGCCCATTATGTTTAAGTTGTATGACAACTAAAACAAAATGGGCAATTAAGCCCAATAACAACATATGGCCGGCCATAAGGGTGAGGGGTAGCAAACTTGTATTAATTACAAGTTTGCCACTCACAAGAAATGAAGTATAAAATCAACATTATAGCTTTGTTTCACATTAGGGTTTTCTAATGGAATTTGGGTGAAACATATTCTCTCATTTTCTACATAGAGGCCGGCCACTTAGGGGAGGAACATCTAGCAATCTTCTTCTTCCCTAAGTCATCCATTTCATCTTCACACTACATCTTTGGTGTGGAGAGTTAGAGACACCAAACCTTTGGTGTTTTTTTTTTTTTTGGAGAACAAATCCTCAAATCCTCAAAGAAGAAAAGGAGCACTAAAAGGGAGGAAATCACAAGGAAGATCCAAGGAGCAAGGAGGTGACTTGAAGGCCCTCCACTTGGGTGAATCCCTTGTGTAATCAAGGATGAGCTTCAAGGGTAAAGAATCTCTAAATTCTTATTCTCTTTAATATTGTTAAAGAGTCTTATGGTTCACCATATACTAGGCTTTGAAAGTCATGGGTTTTATGAATTGTTTTTGAATGCATGCCTACTTTAAAGTGTTATTAGTATGCCTATGTATTCAAATGTTCTTACATGTTCTTAGCTAGGACAAAATTTTTCCTTCACATAGACCTCATATAATACAAAAGAATTCTATTTATGCCGTCTGTTTTTTTCATAAGGTGGTATGTTTTGAAGAAATCTCATTGGCCATCAATTTTATTAACTTTAATCCTATCTGTTGAGAGAGTTGATTACTTAGGTAAAAAATTGCGCGTTAGATCATTGATTTAGGTTATAAGTATTAGATTTTGCATTCAAACTCGAATTCTATGCAATCATTGTGAAATCAAAAGTTGTGTATAAACAGAACCTCAAATTATTAATTTGTGCATGTAATTGAGAAATGAAAATTATTGGTTGATGCAGGCCCTATGTAATGGTATTTACAAGAGTGTGTGGCATCGACCCGTTACCAATACAGAGAGAGTAAGACTCTCAGTAACTTCATTTCTTTGCCCATTAAACGATGCTCTAATAAGCCCAGCAAAAGCTCTCTGAGGAAAGGATCTGCAGCCATATATAGGGGCTACACTTATACTGAGTATTATAAAAAGTTTTGGACTCCGGACTTGGAGAAAGACCATTGTTTGGACCTTTTCAAGATCCAGCAGTAGCCCTAGCCTCATCAAATGTATACATGCGTTTGTTTATTCAATAACATTATTTATATGCACAAAACTAATCACATTGCTGATTGCTGATGCACTTTAAAATAGGAATGGACTCTACAATTGTACGTGGAACATGCATGTGTAAGAGAATCTATAACAATGGGGTCAATTTTGTGCGTATAACTATTTGCTTTATTTATTTATTGCCTATCTGATTATGGCTCCTCATGGCGGTATGAATGCTTCTGTAATTTGATTGATTTACTTTCTTGATCATAATACTAGTTTGAATGAACATTCTGAATAATAATTTTACAGGTATGTCATAAAAATAATATAAATGTCATTCTATAATTCCTTTCTTTCCAATTTTCTCTGTTTTAGAAGTGTTCTTGTGTACGAGCGGTTGTGTCGAATTCTGTTGACAGATAAGTTTGAGTGTCGAGAAAATACATGAGGTCCTGATTTTGTGCTTGTGGCAGCACAATCACTTGATCTGCCCGTTGTACACCAGATTTTTGTTGTGTTAGACCTCGTTGCATAAGTATGAATCCAAATTTATAACATATAAGCAACCTAAAATCCCTTTCTTACTACTTTTTGTGGAATACATGAAAGTCTACTTATGGTGAAAAATCGGCATGCGATCTGATAGATATTTTTACCACCTACAAAAGTAGGGATTAAAACACTTAAAAATACTTGCAAGAGAACAAGGAATTGAATGAATAATTTGTGTTTAAAATCAACTCTTAATTAACGATTTTAAACAAGGTTTTGAAAAATGTTGATTTTGGAATTTTAAATAATAAAAACGAATTTAATAAAAACAACTAAATACATTGACAAATAAAAACTAAAGAAAATAGTTTTGAAAATAAAGTTAAAAGTCTAGGGTTCCGCTATCCTCTTAACAATCCTATATAGTTTTACCAATTACTTATGAATTACACATGCAACTTTGACAATTAAGTTTTCCTAATTTATATTCTACTTGGAGCCTCCAATATAGAACGTAACGTTCAGATCAAATCTGAACATGAGAGACTCATTATGCTTTATGAAAACCCTTTCAAAAATCATGCAACCCTTAAGACGTGATGTTCATTTTAAGTGAAATTACAATTATTAGTCACAAGAAGTCAGCGTCAATTTTAGGGAACCTTTTTACCAAATTTGCACCAAATTACTTATCTAAACATCCTAATGGTAGCTAAGCATTAACACAATTAGACAGTTTAAAACGGTGATTAATAATTCAAAGTATGCACGTATTCAATCATAAGCAATTAAATAAAAATTACATATTCATGCTAAGACTCAAGTCTTCGCCCCAGCAAACGGAATTTAATTACTAGCAATCATACAACGAAATATTATTAAAAACAAAGATAGAAAACACCTTGAAAATAAAAAACTTGAATCCAAAAGCTCTCTAAAGTGTTTGTGCGTTTTCTCCTCTCATTCTCTTCCCCTCAACCCTAATGGCTAAAAGCCTTATTTATAGTACTAGAAAATAAAACCCTAAAAGGTCTTCTATACATTAGGAAACACAATAGAATAAGATAACTAGGAACTACATTCCTATTCTAACTTAGGGAAACCTGCCCAGCCACAGAGAATCCCACGATTTTGGATCTTCAGGGCTCTAAAATAAGCCCAAAACGTCAGTTTGACAGCATTGTGCGCTGCTCCTTTATTTCATCACCATAAATAAACTGCCGGGTAAAAAATTATGAAACTTTGACACGGACAATTTGAAAGACACAGGAACATCCTCCAATTAGAATCACTCCAAAATTTATCCGTTTGACTACTTTTTGCTCCAGAGGAAGTCGAATATCCTGCATTGGAATTATAATTCAAAGTATCAAAATCTCACCAAAATAATCACTAAATTAATACTAAGAATAGGATAAAATATATAGTATAATATCGACTTATCACGATCACTATATCAAAAACCAAAGAAATATGGATGCATATAGCAGCATACCATAGCCAAGGTTATATCAAATTCTTCTTAAGAAATTCAATGACATTGCTGTGGAAAGCGGAGCAAATGACGCGGAAGCCTTGGAATCCAGATCCCTTAGCCAAGGCCTCAAACTCATCCTCCGTCCTCTCTTTTCCGCCGGGGTTGTTAGCTAACATGAGCAGGTCGATATGGATAGCTAACTTGGTGGCAAGGCTGCTGTTTGGAGATACTGGAATAATGAACTCAACAAGAATCACCTTCCCATTGTCGGGGAGCGCAGCGTAGCAGTTCTTCAAAAGTTTCAAGCAGTGCTCGTCACTCCAATCGTGACATATATGCTGTAAGATTGCATACACGATATGATATTAGTTCCAAATATATTAAGCAACTAAGCTTAAAAAATTGATATTAGCACTACAATCATTGACTCTCTTTTGGATAAATAATAACTCACTTTCATGACAATTGCATCTCCCTTTGGAACACTTACAAACATGTCTCCTCCAACATGCTCCACACCTATATCCAACATTCATAGACCTCATATTCATTAGGAAAAATGATAAATAGTACAACCATGATTTGTTTTTATATAAGCAAATATTAGAGGAAGAGAAATCATACTTGAGAGAGATCTAGTGTAAAGGTGAATGCTTTTAAGTAACTGTTGATACTAGAAATTACAATGTCTACTTGGTGCACATGCTGAATGATTATGAGCCAACTTAAGAATAACGAATGTGGGTGTACCAATTCACAACCGAACTTGGTCAAGCAAGTATAATCGATGTGGTGGTACTGGGGAATGCACTGCTAACTTCTACACTTGAACGATTTGGGCAGAGGAAGGAACACATCTCAGCCTTGGGTTCTAGAACCTGAAGACAAGTTTACTAGATCACTGCAAGGTTCAATAACTGGTTCGACTTTCACTGAGGAGCTATTGAGATGACCTATTTAGGCGAAAGAATTGCAAACTCTTCACCCGGCATTACTTGAATAAATAACCTACCAACGAACAACAATGTTGATCACTTATCCAAACTGAAGGTGCTCCTAAATTGTCTGGTTCATCTGCTCCACTGGCAATTAGTTCTACTACTCCACTGCGTTAGGACAGTTAGTGTTCTTCTCAGGGGTGTGAGAAGGGTTTTGCGAAGAGGGAGGGTTTTTGTGTAAAGCGTTTGTGTTGTTTGTTGAGTTGAAGAGGCCTTCAATGTTGAAGAGCCTCTTCTATTTATACGCGAAGCTTTCATGATAAACAAGTATGCCGAGGCAGAGTCCTAATGGGATTGTGTTTGTTCAATATTTGCTTGAATATTCCATTGACGCATTCTTAGCCAAAAGTTTGTCTCTATTTAGTCTCGGCCTCTCTGACTCTCATCATAACTCTAAACCTAGTCCCATGGTGAGATTCATTCATCTTTATATGGTCGTGTAGGCATTCGGATCCTTGGAATAATTCATATTTATCCATAGTTTATATTAATCCTTGCAATTTCAGTTTGTGCAGGACTCAACCAAGTCACCCCTATACTTAAACTTTTCATAGTCCTACCTCCATGAGGATTTGGTCGAACTGATTTTACTCGTGGCCTAAAATCCCACTAACTTGAAAGACTTTACTAGGCTGAGAACCATGCATGGTCATTGGGTCAACTTATCTCAGCTCAAGTTGTTGTTCAGGCCCAAACAGTAACTAACAACAAACATTATCAGAAACGAAGAACATACCAGGATATTGGGGAGCATCTTTGATGACATGAGGTAAGTCGAAGTTAATGCCCTTAATTGAGGGGTACTTAGAGACAATCATGTGAATAACACTGCCGATGCCACCACCAACATCAACGACGGATGTGAGGCCCTCAAAGCCCTTGTAGGTCTCAAGAAGTTTCTTCATGGTAATGCTAGACTGGTCAGCCATTCCCTTGTTAAAAACCTTGTTGAATCTAGGGTCAATGCCATGGTACTCAAAAGTAGTCATTCCATAGGCCTTGTTGAATGCAATTCCTCCTTCAAGAACAACATCTTTCAAATGGTACCTGCACAAGCCCAAAACAAGCATACATGTCACGAATACTGCTCTCTTAAGGTCCCTATTTTGAGGACCTATGCGGTTTTGTTTTTATATAAACTTTCAATATAATCTTATGGGTAGGTTAAGCTATCAACTTAAATAATTCCTATTACACCGAAACAAAATAATTCTGCAAACTGATTAAATTAAAAAAATTTCTCGCGTGAAACCTTCCGTCTTCCTTTCCAATCGTCTCACTCCCCCACATCCCCTCCATTTCTCCATCTCTCTCACAATCATTCACTCCCCTTCTCTCCTCATGAGTTTTTTTCTTTTTCTTTTTCTTTTCACATATGAAAAGGGGAGAGGAGAATGACCTGTTAGATTATTTAAGATGATAGCTTAATGTACTGTTAGATTAATATGATGGCTTCTATTAAAAAGAACCTCACATGTCCTCAAAATGAGGACCTTAGCAGAGCAGTTATGGCTGTGAGTGTGACATATACATAGCTACTTTCCTAAGGTCTTCATTTTGAGGATCCGTGAGGTCTTTTTATAGATGAGCTCTCATATTAATCTTATGATAGATTAAACTATCAACTTAAATAATCCCTGCACTGAAACACAATAATTTTGCAAAGTGATTAAATAAATAAAAAATTACGTTAAACCTTTCATCTTCCTCCCCTACCCTTTCTCTCCTCCACATCGCCTTCGTCTCTCCATCTCTCTCTCTTGATCGTTCACTCCCTTCTCTCCTCCTGAGTTTTTTGTTTTTTTTTTCTTTTACCGTATAAAAAATAGAGATGGTGCTGTTTCAAAATTTTCACTATCGTCGAAAATTTTCATATAAAAAGGGGTTTATACATTTAATAAGAAGATGATCCCAATTTTCGAAACCACCCAATCTCAATTTGAATATTATTGAGAAAAGATTAGAGGAAATTGGATGTGAAAAGTTAATATGTTTTATGTAATTGGATTTGCTTCGTTTAAAGACTAGATTTTGTAGATGAAGAGGATTCAACATGACATGGAATTTATTTTATTTTATTTTATTTTTGTTTTATCAATTAGTATTTTATTTTCGTGTAACAGGAATTATTTAACTTAATCTACCGTACCTATGGAAAAATAAAATAATTAAAACGTAGAGTTATACAAAGGAAAAAGATTAATAAGAAAGAAAGGTTTGAAATTGAAACACTGGTGTGATAAATTTCCAATCATGTCCGTCCCCAACCACTAAATCGGCCAAAAGTAATATGAACAAAGAAGAACACAATAGGAAAAATAGAAAACAATCACATATTCAAGCCACAACTCGCAGTTAGTAATATTTTTATGATTTTATTATAATCAACCTATTTAAAACCCATTAGTTAATGTTTGTTAACGATCAAATTAAGATGATAAACGAAGAAGAATAATAGTAATTACCAGCTCTCAACAAGGACCTTGTCCTGAGTCAGGAGTAAGAAAGGAGCAATGGACACACCATCCTCGTTCTTTGTCAATAACTTGCAGACGGGGCCGAGGCCGTACAGACGCTCTACTTTGCCATCGGGAAGCGTGCGGAGGGAGTAAGTGAGGATGGAGTAGCTGGCCAGGAGGCGCAGCATGCGGTCCAGGATGACGGGGGCGTCAGGGTTCTTGGTCGGCAGCTGCGAAGCTAAGTCCGCCGGAGAAACGAAGGCGTCAGGCCCGGCTTTCGCCATGATCTCGAGAAGGTCGAGCTCGAGGGCTGCCTTGAGCACCATGGGTGGAACGGAGGCGCTGGCTAGCTGCATGGCGAAGAGGTTGGTTTCTTCGTCGGAGACTTGGGTTGGAGTCGTCTGAGTCTCTACGGTCGAACCCATTTGTTGGATTTGGTGTTGGTGGAGAGAGAGAGAGAAGGAGGACTGAGAGTGGAAGAGATGGATTTACAAATGGGTGTACTAACTGGCAATATATAGGGATTTGTTTGCTTAATGGTGGTGGGTACCAATGTTTTGTAATATTTTCGCGAAAATTAATTTTAAATTGTCGAGAGTTCACAAGAACTTTACTGTTTAGAGTTCCTTTAGCATTCATGGGTACGGGAAATGTGTAAGTTTGTCTCTCGTAATATCGTTTTTAATAAAAAAAAATATAAACAAATTGAATGATAAGTTACAAATTCAAACTTTTCTTATAAAAAAAAGTGCAGTTTTTCTTCAATACAAGGTTATACTCGATGGTTTAAATTAACACAAACGGATTTCGCATGGTTCGACTAATATATTGTTCTCTGTGTACGTCACTACTTCCATCACCTATTAAAGTAAGAAGGCATATCACAAAATGTAAACCCTTCAAACCAATGGCGAACAAACTAAGAAAAGTCTCTCTGCCGAATACAACATGTCAAGAAGTTATGTAATGGAGCCCCAGTAGCAGGTGATGGAGTCCTTGTTATTTTCTTATTTATTCATTATTTAGATGGTGTTTGAAAAGATTTCTCTTAGTTGATCCGGCAAAACAAGTTAAATTATGTAATACAAATGGTATTCTTATCATCTAGTTATACCATTATTTGTATCATTTTTCTAATAGAGATGGGACGCACATGCATTGACGGATTTTATCTCTATTAGAAATATGGTACAAATGATGGTACAAATAGATGATAAGTATAGCACTACTCGTATGTAAACACCATTGTCTTATATATGCATTCTAAGTTGTTGGATGGAAAACCTGTTAAAATAACTTCCAAAGCATTACTCGCATGTAAACACCATTATCTTATGCATTCTAAGTTGTTGGATGGAGAACCTGTTAAGATAACTTCAAATTATTGTTGACAGATAATATTGTCATTTTTTATCGTGATAATTATCTATTAACAATTTATTGGAATTATCTTGGCATTTTCCTATGCAAACTCCATTAAGTATTAAGTAGCTGCACAAGTGGTATTATATATTGGGACATGGATTGTATGCTCTCCCACTTAGCATCCCCTTCCATTCCCTCCTACTTTTCTAGCCATGATTTCATGTTTATTTAATTTAATGCTCCAAATTCTACCACCTCACCAACAACTCCAAACATCTTTAAAGCCCAATTTTACATACTTTTTCTATTGCCTTTCCCACCCCCTTCTATCCATTTCATGACTTCTTTTTGCTGCCTTTCCCGCCTCTAAAGTCCCTTTTCTCCCGCCTCTTCCACTTAATATCACTTTGTTTTTTATAAGCATTTTACATTGCTTTGTTTTATATCATGGTGGTTGGAAAATGAGATTTCATGCCAATATATGCTTCCATTACAAGCAAAACTTTTTTGCATATTCAATATTAATAAGCACAGGATCTGTAGATTCAAAATTACACACAAAAAATTTGTTTTGCAACCACCAACATGATCCAAAACTGTCTAACTCAGTAACTTTGCCTACAACCTCTTGTACTTTACAATAGAAGCAAAATTTTCAATTAAGCCTCTGGTAATGTAGACTCAAGAATGTCCAAAATAACTATAAGTTGGCTTTCTGCAATCTCTATGTATGGCATAGCTGCCTCTGCAAAAAACAATGAGTTGGCTTCCTTTCTTCATCTCCAATGGTCACCACTTACATTCAAATTCAAAGTCTACAATAGTCTTTTAAGGATACAAAGAAAATTCTACCAAGAACATAACAATAGCAATAAAAATATATGAAATATATCTGAAAGCTTTACTTGACTACACGTGGTATTAGATGCTTGAAAATCTTGGTGTGCAAAGGAATAACCAGTGGGATTTGTTTGGAGTAGCTCTTGAAATGTACTATACTGAGGTTCTTCATATGTCATCCATGGCATGGAATTAAGCATGTCATGTCCCTGTGACTATGAAATTTGCATAAATAACTAATAAACGTAATATAAAAAAAATATAAGGAGGTTAATTACCACTCACCGAATTCAAAGTATGCACCACTGGAAAAGGTCCCCTTGGTTCAGCCACCACGGGAGCACGAAAAAGAGGTGGAGGAGAAGCAATATAATATCCCGCTGCAACGGTCTCCTTTGGAACACAAGTTTCCTTTAAGATGTCACAATATAGATAAGTAAACCATATGACTTAGTTTACTGCTATTTTAATTTTTAGAAAATTAGAACTTTACCTTTGATAAATGGGAGTTAGATGATCGCTTCCTTTTGGCTATAGCTTTTTCCAAACAACTCTTAAGTCGTCTTCTTCCCCGACAAGTCTTTCTCTTCTTTAATCCTTTTGCTTGGACAACAGTGGCATTATTCAAGTTGGGAACATCATTAGAATGGTTTAGAGCCATAATGGGGGCAGAATCCTTAACCTTATCTTCTATTTTTACCATTAATTTGTAAACTGAGCTTGTCTTCAGTCAATTTACCCAACTTATGTGCATAGCTAAGAGCTATTTCATATGTTTCATCACTTTCTGAAGCCCTGGATGAGATCTGAGTAAATGCGTGGCACAAGGACCTAAATCGAGAGCCCTGTTGCAATCTAGGATCAATTTGGATTTCCTTCCCATGCATGTCTTGTATGCTCTCAGCCCTAGCTTTTTTAGTCCACCTTTTCAAAATATATTGACTAGGAATCTCAAAGGTGTCCATTACCTCTCTAAGGATTTTTATGGCATGACCACACAAAATACCTTTTATCTCAAACAATCTGCAACTGCAACAGATTATGTTTGAATCTCTCTCCCTCCTCACATGTCGTTCCATAAAAGCACCGTAAGGTGGAAAAACTGTGTACACAACATCTTCACCATCATTAACGGTACTTTTTATTCTTAAATCAAGAGATTTCCCAATATTGCTTTCGTGTAAGTATCACCTGCTTGTTTAACAATCATAGCTGGAACTTTCACTTGTGCATTCTTATAACCCAAGTTATATTCAGCTTGGTACTCCTTATACCTCTGATCATCAAGTACTCTCTCAAAATGCATGAAAAATTGTACCACATTATAGTCAGACTGTAAATACTCTTTTAACCTAGCATCGAAGCTCTCACTAATTCGCGTAGTTGTCATTCCTACAGACCATGCCATCTTTACATATGCCTTAGCCCATTTTTTTCTCAACTTCTTTATTCCTTTCAACCACTCTAATGCTTTCCCCTGCACATTATGTTTCACAAGCATTTCATCCCAAGCCACTAAAAACTCATCGTCATCCTCATATTCATCAATGAACTTTTTTAGGACTTCTCTAGCCCTACTGTTACCCTTGAATACACAATTAACATTCCGTAGTGCATTTTGCTTCATATGCCACAAGCAAAGCCTATGATATGTATCAGACATCACCTGTGGTAAGTGGGAGGCTAGATAATCTTGATCCATATTGCATCATTACTTACGTATTAGAATAGTAGAAGTCATGATTGAGAATCATATCTGATTGTTTTGGTATGGAATTTTATTCGTGATTATTTATGTGTGACATACCTTGTTTCAACATGAGACCCACTTTTTTTTTTTTTCCATTCTTTGCATGTAAGTAAACACAAACACAATACAATAAAACCTCTTTAAAGTTATACAGTTTGAACCAAACTAGTTTTATAATTTTAAGGAGGTTATTACTTAATAGAGGGTGTACTTAAAAAAAATTATTTGTAGAATTATTTATCTTGATGAATGTTTATTTCCTATACAGGATTCTTTGAACGGCAAGTATTTTATTTTTGGGTAAATATCAGCTTACTACCATCAAGTTTTGTGGTTTTCAACATTTAATATATGAAATTTTTTTCGTCCCAGAGTCATACCTAAAATGTTAATTTTGGGACAGTCTCATACATCCGTTAGTTTGACTGTTAAGTCTCCAGTTAACTGATGATGTGGCGCCTATGTGAACAATGACTGGACACCACGTGTCATTAAGGGTCCACGTGGAAATTAAAATCATTTAATTAAATATTAAAAACTAAAAAAATAAAGGGAGTTTTAACGAAAAACTCACGGTACTATTCACTTTAACGCAAAACCATATTTTACACTAAAAAGTCAATCATATTACTATTTACTTTACCTTTTATTTTATACTTATAATTAAAACTCAAAATTTTTAAATCATATTCTTAAAAATAAAATCATTTATTTTTTTTTTTTGCATGGAGGACCCACCTTTATATCCCTCACTTTTTTTCTTCCCTGATCCCGTCTTCCCCCAACCCAGATCCATCCAACCTAGATTCCACCCTCCGGCCCTCTCTCTCATCCCCATCCGCACACTCCCCCGCCTCACTTGCTCCCTCGCAAAACCCGGAAAAACTGGCCAAAACCACAGCCCCGGCGAACGACGGCGTCGCCACCATCATCATCAGCACAGCAGATCGGAAAATTCAAATTTGAAAAGAAAAAGATGAACAAAATGAAAGCAGATCTGCAGACTTACCATTAAATACAAAGCAACGCATAAATTACAAACAACCACAATAATACAAGATCATACAATTACATGTCGATAGAGACACACATCAAATTGGCAAACGCAAGTTGCACCCTTTCGAATCGTATCTAAAAAATATCTAAATCCACCCAAAAAATTTCTAAGCGCACGCACACGGATTATCAGTCTCTACCACCACACCCGCCACGTCATCGTCCCCACTCCGAAACGCCAAGTAACCAATCGCCAGCCCCAAAAAATTTCGCTCGAACAGGTTTTGCGAGGGAGCAGGTGAGGCGGGGGATGGGGATGAGAGAGAGGGCCGGAGGGTGGAATCTGGGTTGGGGGAAGACGCGAAAAAGGTTAGGGATATAAGGGTGGGTCCCCCATGCGCAAAAAAAAAAAAAAAAAAAGATTTTAATTTTTTAGTTTTTAATATTTAATTAAATGATTTTAATTTCCACATAGACTCTTAATAACACGTGGCGCTCAATCATTGTCTACATAGACGCCACGTC